ATCCTCATTCCAATGATGCTGTATACTATCATGGAGTGTCTTTGTGGTTTCAAGGGCTAGAGGGGATTATTTCAATGAAGACATCATATGACATCATATGACATCACATCATGCACTCTGTGTTATTGTACTGTCTTCTCTTATGTGTTTATGCTAATAGTTTTAATGACAATATTTAACTAAACCACCCACTAATTACCCCATCCTAAATAATTGGGAAGTATCGTCTACCCCAAAAAAGCCATACAAAGTACATATCTGCTGATGTATATGTTATGTATAGCACAACAATATGTGGGTTGATATCCTGAGACTGAGGATACTTTGAATTAATATCACCTGAAGGCCCAAGGGTCATATCAATTCAAAGTATCCGAGGTGGAGGGTGTATCAACCCATATCAGCCTCTTATATATGTTATATTTCATTTATGATATATTTCATTTATGTTATATTTCTACACAAAAAAAGCCATATACAAAGATAGAACATAATCAGATGCATACATGCACACATTATTTATGTACATATAACATAAAGGGGTTTGTTAAAACATAAAACATAAAAGGTTTGTACATATAACATAAAAGGCCAGTTATTTTTAAGTAGACAAATATTTAATGGTACTGATTTAGCATGTACTAATTTTTTAAGATTTTGCTCTTTTTCCCAATTAATAACTATTGATGAACCTAAATTATTAATAAATGCGAGTACTAATTTTGCGATTTTAAAGCCACTCACAAAAAATGCAAAAACTTAGTACTTGCAAATAATAGTGGCTTTAGGGTAATCTGATACATATATACATGCACACGTGCACATTATGTACGTATAACATAAGGGGTTTGTGCAATTCACGGTCTATTTCATAGTTTATGTTTCAATCAGGCTAACCACTAGCTCCTAATTAAGTTTTACTCATGTTAAGTAAACTCTACTACTGTAAGTACAAAGGAATGGCATTTAAGTACATATGTTACATAAGAATTTGTCATCACTTGGGGAAATATTGACGAGTTTTCACGTAGAGTTAATTCCATAGATTCTCTCTCAACAAGATAGCTCAACATATTTGTGTTTGAGGTATATTTCAATAACAATAATTGACAAGAAGACAATGATTATAATTACAATTATTATCATAGTCATTTGTTGCATGGAGATTGGAGAAGAATTAAGGATAGAGATATGAAAAGAGGAGTGGACAGAAATTCGATAAAAAGAGTATCAACAGATACATAGGGATAAAGGGATAGTTAAAAGACGGATACATAAAGATTTGATAGAGAGAGAATCAAAGAGAGATATAATATTATTTTAATTTGTTTAATCTTCAGGACCTAGTAGCGTTTTTTCCTCATTAACATCTTCCTCAAGGACACGTCGAAGGCTACTGGAGCTGTTATCTCTGCTCTCATATCCCACGTCACTATCTACTGATGGATTCCTTCTTCCAACTGGCACTTGCAGCATACCATGATGATCTCTTTTTTCTACGACTCTCAGTCTCTTGTCATGGTCATCTACTCTCTTCTTCAGTTCTGTTATTTCTTTAACATTTTCTTTTGCTTCCCTCAATTCTTTTTGGATCTGTAGCATCGTTTCTTTTAGCTTTTCTTGCTCTGCATTCATCTTCTTGAACCTTTCGTCTGTCATCTTTCTCAATATTTCCGTCATCCTTTGGTCAGCATTATTTAGAAGCTGTGATGTCCTTATGTGTAGCCTTTCCAATGGGAACACTAGCTCTGTCCTTTCATTATCCTGAGAGGAGGGAATGGGGAAGAGAGAGAGAGAGACATATCCATGGCTATTATGAGCTATATGCATACAGTAGCCTGGTTTCTACTACATGTAGTATATCAAAAAACAGGCTAGCTAGTCTGGCTACTTTCTTAGCCTGACTATGTGCATGTAGTCAGGTTTTTCTACTATGCTACATACCAGGCTAGCTAGCCAGGCTGTATGCTTTCTCATAATTATAGCCTAGTTTCATCAACAGTTGGTTTCCATATAGTCCCTAGGCCTACAACATCTCACAATGCAACATTCCTGAAGATAGAGATTAGGTCTAATCCTACAATAAATCTAGTCTGACTGGTCCAGCCACAATAGATCTATGCTAACCAGGAATCCATACAATAGAAGCCAGGGATACAGCCATGCAGGCTTTATATAGTTTAATTGCACACTTACATGTCCTTCCTCAGGCTCTTGCACAGAATTTATTTGATTTTTATCAGCCATACTTTCTCTCTCTTCCTTTGACTCTTCTGCTTTATTTCTTCCTTTCTGCAACTAAGCTGCTCCTCTATTTTCCTTTATTTTTATATAAGTGTGACATGCACATTACAACTCCCTGAAATTTCTTATTTATAAGCATATTCATCAATGGTCTGTCCCCTAGTGTATTCTATTTCCTCATTCTCTTGCTTTATTGTTTTGATAGTAAATGTCATTAATTCTTTTACTCTATTAATAGTCACACTCATTCGCACTCTATAGTACTCACAGCGCATGCATGACGAATAATGACATCATGACAATGATGACAGATTTTGATGTCATAGAAAAACATAACAATAACAATAACAATAATAGATAATAAGAAGAAAAGAATATAATAAGGTACATGTACATTAGAAGAATAAATTTTAAAGTGAGAAAATAGTCATACCATATAGTAGGAGGGAATTTCTAAAATTTTAGTGATTGGTGGTTTTTAAATTTGGTTAGTCAGATGTGCAGATTTGCATATAATATACCAGTGCATGATTAAAACGCTTGCTGAATGGCCCCTCCAAAATTATCGCCTATTATGATGTATACGGTATGACCTATCACATAGTAATTATACATACATTACAAGTACAACGATAATAACTATTTTAATGCTTTTACTGTTCATTTAGTCTCTTTAAAGCATTTGCTAAATCACCCATGGCCCATATAACCTCCAGAATATTGTGGTCTTTCTCCGTCATAGACTTTCTTTGTCTAAGCGGTGTGCTTGTTGTCTTGGGACGCAACTTGACTTCAGGAGGAAGCGATTCATCAGCTGCCGGTATATTTTCATCTTCCCCAATATTAAACAATTTACTATCACCTCTACCTAGTGTAGAAGGGCCAATACTGCTTCCTATACCAGAACTAGAAACACTAGAACTAGAAACACTATTGGTACGCTGTAGCGAATCAGACTCATCAAAGCTGTCTGACTTTGGCGGTAGGTTATTGGCAGTGCGTACTTCATTAGTGTGTGTTTCTATGATCGATCTTCTCCTATTGGTCTCTTCTTTTGGTACCATTTGTGATGCTAAATCGTCTAATTTTGATAGGAGATCAGAAAAGATAGAAGGAGGAGGCTCCATCACACTGCTAGTTGCTGCGGCAGCTTCATTCTCAACTGTTTCCGTAACAGGAGTTGCTGTCTGCATTTTCTTCACTTCATCGGTTAAATCTTTCACTTTTTTATTTGTAGCCTTCAATTCCTTTCGCAGTGCTTCATTTTCTTTAGAGAGACGCGCCAATTCGTCGACAACTTTACAATGCTCCTCAAACTTTTCAACGTGATCTTTTTGGAATCTCTCCTGCAGCTCAGCAATATCTTTCTTGTTTGTTTGTGAAAGAGACAGTTGTTCCTCCAATTGCTTCTCGAACTTTGAGACTTGTTCACGAAAAATTTTAACTGCATTAAGTAAATCCTTGAGTAGTTTTCCAGCAAAAGCATCACTGTTAATGATCACATACTCATTTTCACTGTGATCTGTCTGTAAAATAGGAAATGATAATAATAAATAACACAATGTTTATTTTATACAAGATGAAGACAGGCATGTTATGGAGTAACTTTTCTCCAATTCTGCCTATCATGAGAAAATGACTAAGAAAATCTATAGTATGAAAGCTGAACATCTATAAAGTATTTATATAACAGTGTCAACTCAATTCGGTAATAATATGACCAGAGCCCTTTAATTAACAGATAATTATAATTAGATTATTATAACTACATACACACCCAGTGCAGTGACCAGTTCATTGAGTAAACATCTGGTACATTTTAAATCTAGTACATGGTAAAATGTATTCATTTTTGTCTAGTTTAGGTTAAAGTATGCACAATGCCCTCCTTATAAAGATAATTAAATAACACCATATATAATGATAACGGTATGACCATAATAATAACATAGCCAGAGGAACACACGCTCCTTATGGTAAATGCCATTATTTACTCACTGGATGAATACACCTTCAACATACCAAACTATACACACTGATAAGAACGTTTACAACGAGAACTATAAAGCAGCATTTACAATAACACACAATAAAATTCTGCATCTACTTTTAACAATAATTATTCTTTGCCAAATTCATATGAAATTTGGCTAGTGGGTGGTGACAAGGAGCTGTATATGCTATAATAATAATAGTATTGTACAGTCATATATATACATAAAGGACATATAATAAATGACATAAACTACTAAAAGGCATAAACTCACCTCTTGTACAGAGGACGAGAGAGAGGGTTCAGTTACTGGAGAGTTTATATCAGGGACGGCTCCTTGCTCGGCCATAATCCGTGCGGAGAGCAGTCTCCTCAGCCTCTCAGGTGCTTAAAAGAAAGAACGCAGCAAGAGGGAAGGAGAGGGGAACTTAAGAAGGACAGTTTAAAGTCTGTTCCAAACTTTTAGGAGTGCAATAACTTCCAATAAGCCAG